AGCATCTTAGAGGTCATTGTTAAGTGTTGATTTGAGTATCGATCGTCACCGAAAGTCATGAAGGTCTTTGACTCGTGTGATGACTTTGTCGGCGATACGTTAACTTTAAACTAATGGAATAGCAAGGGCTTTGTCTCTAAAAGGGTTAGCAGTAGAATTCAGGTGAATGGGATTTGTTTTGTCAGCACTACATTCGTTAAACTAAAAATGAGGTTTCCTCCGGTGTCCGCTATAGTAAAATGTATGAGAAAACACTCAAGCGCTTCAGAGAACATGTCTAAGTGTGTAAAAACAAGGTTTATTAGCGTTGCAATGCCTACAAACGTATTCAAACGCCATTTTTACGGTCTATAATGGCTTGGAGACTTTTTTACAGCTATCGATCCATGGATTTTGACTGTACTTGTATCGATCGTGGTTACTTTGTTTGCTGTCTTTTCGTAGATTGAACTAGTGGAATAGTGAAAGCTTTTTGATATACAGAGTTTAGCTGTTGAACTCGGGTCAATGGGATTTGTTTTGTCGCCACTACATTCGTTAAACTAAGAAGGAGATTTCCTTCGCGGTCCGCTATAATTGTATGGAAAATTGGCGATTTATTACGCAAAAAGTTACAGGCATCGTGCGTAAGGGTTTAAACACGGTTTATTGACAAACTTATTACAATGGATTTTAAGCTTCTCGTACACCATTTTAGGACCGAATCTCTGTTGCTGTCTAGCGAAAGAGTTTAGTTCGTCCTGGAAGGATGTTGTAGGATTCAATGATTCGTTCTCTTCGGAGTTAAACTGTTCCTCCTCAGAGCTTTCTCTTGGTGGTGTTACAATAAACTTGGCTTTATAGATGGCTGGTTTTGTACCCTGTGGTTGTTTCTTCTTCTTAGTCTTTGGTTTCGCTTTCACTCGCTGTTTCGAAGGTTTTGACTACCTCCGTTTCGTTTGCTTTGTTTCTGTTCGTTTCCTCTTAGCGGATGGTTTCTCGAGTTCTACTTTGCGTTTTCCTGATACTTTGGACTTCTTCGCAGATTGATTTGGTCCTTTGTGTTTAACTTCTGACGGCTCTATACGACACGATTCCGTTTCAGGTGTACCTTGGGTTACCTCTGGAGCTGGGTGTGTACTTTTAGTGATGTAAGGGTAGCTTTGACAGTGACCAAAGACGTCGGCTACAACTTGTTTATCTGTTGTCGTCTTCGGCTGATTATCTACTAACACATATCCGTAGGGTTTTGCACTTACGCTTCCATACAGGTTCATAAAGTTTGGGCCGTCTTTGGCAAAAATCGGCTCTGCGATAATGTCAATCTGTTTTCTGTCACTAGGGCTGCCAAACAAAACCATATTCTGCGCACTTCTGCTAATATCTGTGTTAAATTTCCCTTTTGGAAACATGTTTTGCAATAGAAGAATAACACTCGCATTACGATATCTCCCCTGCGTAAACAATTTTGATAACACAGGGTTATCTATGGCTTGACTCATGAGATCATCAAACAACAGCACAGTGTTAAACTCTGGGTTGATTTCATGTAAGTCTTCACTGAGCTCAGGTAAGCCTTGGGTAAACTGTATCTCATCACAGAGTGCTGATTTCAAGGACGTATAGCGAGGTTGCTACTGGTTAAAAACCAGTAAATACGTCTCGGTTTCTTGTTCGGATATTTGATGCATGATTTGGTCAACACCTGTTCCACAAAGTGTTTTACCACATTGACTTGGGCCTACCACAAGCATCGAGAACGTGTGGTTAAACTTAAAGTCAGGGTAAGGTTTGGTCTCTAAACACTGACTTGTTTCGATCTTGGCTACCTTTTGGGATTTCGGTTTAATACTTTGAGTTTGACTTGGGTGATCTGTAAATTGAGGATTCATACCCAAATGGTACTGTGGTATTTCATGTTGTAAAATGTGAGGGGTATACAATCCTTGAGGTTGAACTCTTGGTGATAACGAAGGAGTCACTTGATGAGAAAATATCGCTGATTTTAGCCAGGGTTTTCGTTCTTCACTGGATAGGTTATGCACTTGACATAAGTGATTTGCCAAGAAATGTAAATTTGGTTTGTAACATATAGGGCACATTCGTCTGCACTTGTATGCCATCTTGACGCAATGAAGTCTTAACTCAAATGAAAGCGATGCAAAAGTGTTTGGTTTCTATTTATAGTATCGGGTTGATGACAGGGTGATGTGAGCTTAATGTCAGTTTAATGTCAGGTTGATATAGATTGATGACAGGTTGATGAAGGTTGATGACAGGTTGTTTTGGGTTGATGGACGGGTAAAAACGGTTCACGGTCATGAGATCTCAAATACTGTGACACATTTCAACCCAATTTTATTCGCAGACTTTTTCTACACGTTACAATTTTAAGTTGCTGACTTTTACTGCAAAGTGCTACTCCTCATGGAAAGACAGGCTCATCAGTAATCCTCGGTTTAAGTCTTGTTTCATGGTTAACTGATCTGTTAAGGCCTCTATGATTTCATCCATTTTTGCATAAGACCACTGGTCTGGTGGGAATTCACACATATAGATCACATCCCAATGTTCTCGGGAAGAGACTGATTTTGATCTGAGAAGTCTTGGATGTTTTTCTCGTCCAGAAAATGTCATTTAATCCCTGATACAGAGGATACACAACTTCAAAATCAAAGTTGCGGGCTCCTTCTTTTGACGGTGGGTGTTTGGTTATGTCAACGACAGACAAATTGGATCCGAATACTCTTGTATAACTTACTTTAAATATAGGGTCATCAAGCGCTAACTCTAGCTAGTGTAGTTTATCTTCGTTTTTAGCGAACAATTCTCTCTCCTCACGTTCTGCTTCTAATTCTGCCATATCCGTGTCCCATTGACGCTGCTCAGCAAGCGTCCAATCACTATACCCTCCTACCCACATGATAACGTGTGTTAAATGAATGATTAACTCACACTCACCTCATTTTAATACGATTTCTGGGGAGACCTGTGTCACAGAAAACACTATTGCTATGTGACTGCATCGTAGGGTATAAATAGAATCAGTCCTCACCCTAAGGCATCATTTTCACATCTGATCTTGTCGAGGTAACATGAACGTTATGTCTGCTATAGGAGAACCCACTGTTGTCTCTGAACCTTTAAGTAACATGTCCGCTATCGAAGAAAACAACTCCATGGATATGTCTGAACCTACCGAAAAAAACTAAGAAAGCTATGCTAAGAGGGCAAAGACAGAAACTTATGGCCATCGATGCACGAATCAAGTACCGTGAAAAAGTGATCAAAGCTTTCAGAAAACATCTCAAGCATGGTACGTTTCCTAAGCGGATGAAATCTATACAACCCTACCCAAAAATGAATTCGTCTGAAGCGCAAGCTATTGTCAATGCAGCGTGTGATCAAGTCCAATGTGTGATTTTAGATCAAATGGTTCTCGAGGAGCAAAAGAAACTCACCCTAGATCAAGAACGTTAGGACACACACCAAACCATCCGCAAAAATCTTCTTAGATTCCTTTGTGTCCTCTGTTTGTTTGGGCAAGCGTTGTTCTACCATCTCTAGGGTGATGTCGTCTAGCTCCAACCCGTCGTCCTCGATCATTTTCAGCATTACTTTTTCTCGCAAGTCGTTCAATCTTTCTTCGTACGCTTGTGCTTCGATTTTAGCCATCGGTACCCCACTGTTGATCTGGTCCAATTCTTTCAATTTCTTTTTACGTTTGGTTACCAACTCATCAATGACTAGTTGTGTACTAACATCAGGTAGACCCTCAGCAACCATCCCCAATATGGCTTCTGTCTTGTTTTTGCGTCGTCGAAATTGCTGAAGTTGTCTTTTAAATTGTTTTTCTTCTTCAGAGGTAATATAGCATTGATGGTCATAAATTGGTACAAATTCGAAGCAATGTTTGCATTGTGCATGCAGACATTTGTGAGGCAACTCTTTGTTCACTTTCTAGGACACCAGGCAATCTTGACAACGTTGATATTCGTCACAGACGCTTTTCATTTCAACAATAGATGGAAGTGGTTCGTCTAGATCTTTTTCCAATTGTTCTTTGATTTTCTGCTTTTCTTTGTCAAACGTCTCATATTCAATTAAGTGTGCTCTAAAACATGACTCTCCATAGAACTCCCTTCTACATACTCTGCAGCTCCTGTCTGGTTTCGCCCAAAGAGTAAAATCGGGGCATCCTGGCTGACCTTGGGAAGAACTTTGCTTACAGGACGGACAATGTTTCGCTTGGCAATCATGGTGAGCGCTGTTCTCTGTATTGTAGCCTTTACAACACATCACAAAAATAACTTCTATTCATAAAACCTGGGATTGAATACAAGCCGTCATAGTGGGCTTTTTCCACATTTTTGTCATCCACGTACAACGATTTCACCAGAGCAATTGTCTTGTCTGCCTCTTGATACTTATCTCCTTTAAAGATCACTCCACCGCTTGCAGCATCGACGACTATGATTCTATAGCCTTGAGGACCCACGTAATCTTGGAATTGTTTTACTTCCTCCAACCCACAAGGTCCTTCGGGGACACCTGCTTGTTGGTGTAACTTCTTGGCTTCTTTCAAGTGTTGCGAATTTTTTCCCCGTGCTTGATAAATATTTTTAAAGGTGTTTTCTTCCCCTGCTTGTCTTTTTTTGAATACTCCCGCATTGTCACAATCGCTCATGCACAGCAGAATTCATCTTTGTTTTTATTTTCGCACACACACTTGGATTCCTTCGCCATGTGATCCCAAATTTTCTGACCTGTTCCTGCACCTGCTCGTTTACCACCTTTTCGTTCCGGTCTGCTGAATAGCACTGAGGCTGAAAAACCCACATCATTCGTAATGAACTCACCAATGTTTAGTACATTCGCAAGTTTCGCCAAAACTGCTTGTGCAAACAGAGCTCTTTGGGTAAAATCACCCACAGGAACTTTCCATGTTTCTCCTGTCAAACCTTCACGACGATGCTTTCGACTACCTATCTGAAGTGTCATCCAATAATCGAAAGGCATTTTCAATTCATCATCAGATTATCTGTTGCGGTTGCTGTAGCATGGGTTGCTGCAATATTCAAATCTTCGTGATCTTTAGCGGCGCGTTGTTGGTCTAAGGTCAGAATAAATTTTTGATTGACTACGGCATTGTTTTTCCAGCGTTTCGCTGGTCCCAATTTCTTCACATCCGCCACAAAGAGTGGATTTGGCCCGCCACCATTTTCCTCCGTAGTATCTAGTGTTTGATCTGTGTCGTCTGGTTTAGATTCTTTCACATTGTTTTTGGAGTCTTCTTCTTCGTTCTCACGTTTGGTACCACGTGTCATTACTGCGCAACCTGTCTGGCTTTCAACGTTCAAACGTGGAACTTTGTCAGCATGCAAGAGTTCCAAACGGTCTACTTCATCATTCACGGACGCTTTTCGTTTGGCTGCCTCAGAGTGAAAGTTGCAGACATGAGCCTTCATCGCGTCCTTCCTTGAAAACAATTTGTCACAATGTAAACATGGAAGTTTAACATTTGTTGCACAATATTTCTTATGACGGAAAAAGTCGAATCTGTTTTTGCACGTTTTTCCGCATTTTTCACATGGTCTTGGGTAAGTGGTCAGCATCGTGAGAGCTCTGATTAGTACAACGAGTTGTAATCAAATGGCCAACTCAGCGTTGTTCAATCGTTTTAAAGCCTATTGTTACGTGAAGGATGACGTCATTATCTAAAAATAGAAACACCTCATTGAGCATGTCTGGACTTGCCCGTCATCAATCAACCGTGACCACGTTGATTTACTTTTCACTCAGTTAGGTTAGATTTGGGAAAAACTCACTCACTTCAATAACAGATGATTCACCTCACTCAAATTTCGCACTCGGTTTGGTTTAGAAAAACTCACTCACCTAAATTACAGACATTTCGCCCCACTCAATTTCGCTACGACTCCGTTCGCATCCATAGCAACGGATGTTAGCCATGTTAGCCATCAATTTTCGTGACCCAATAGACCTCTATTACTACTTTCAAGATTTTAGCTTTTCCAAAATCTTGAATTCAAGATTTTCGTTCACTTCAAGACTTAAGCTTTAAAAAATTCTAAATTCAAGATGTTGCCTTTTTTTTAACATTTTAGCTTTCCAAAATCTTGAATAAAAGATTTTGGCTTTTTTCAAGATTTTAGCCTTCCAAAATCTTGAATTCACGATTTTGGCATTTTTAAAGATTTCAGTTTCCAAAATCGTGAATTCAAGATTTTGGCCGACTTCAAGTTTTTAGCTATTCCAAGATCTTAAATTCAAGATTTTGGCTGACTTCAAGATTTAAGTTTTCAAAAATCTTAAATTCAAGATTTTGGCTGACTTCAAGATCTTAGCTTTTAAAACTCTTGAATTCAAGATTTTGGCTGACTTCATAATGTTAGCTTTACAAAATCTTAAATTCACGATTTCCGCTTTTTTCAAGATTTTAGCTTTAAAAAATCTTAAATTTAAGATTTTGGCCTTTTTCAAAACTTTAGCTTTCCAAAATCCTGAACTCAAGATTTTGGCCTTTTTTTATGATTTTACCTTTCCGAAATCTTGTATTCAAGAATTTGGCTTTTTTCGAGATTTTAGCTTTCCAAAATTTTGAATTCAAGATTTTGGTTCTCTTCAAGATTTTAGTTTTCCAAAATCTTCATTTCAAGATTTTGGCTAACTTCGAGATTTTAGCTTTCCAAAATTTTGAATTCAAGATTTTGGCTGACTCCAAGACTTTACCTTTCCAAAATCTTTAATTCAAGCTTTTGGCTGACTTCAAGATTTTAGCTTTTAAAAATCCGGAATTAAGGATTTTGGTCTTTTTTATGATTTTAGCTTTCCAAAATCTTGTATTCAAGAATTTGGCTTTTTTCGAGATTTTAGTTTTCCAAAATCTTGAATTGCTGACTTCAACATTTAAGCTTTTCAAAATCCTGAATTCAAGATTTTGTCTTTTTAAAGATTTTAGCTTTCCAAAATCTTGAATTGAAGATTTTGGCTGACTCCAAGATTTCACCTTTCCAAAATCTTGAATTCAAGCTTTTGGCTTACTTCAAGATTTTAGCTTTCTAAAATCCTGAATTCAAGATTTTGGCTGAGTTCAAGATTTTACCTTTTCAAAATCTTGAATTCAAGCTTTTGGCTTACTTCAAGATTTTAGCTTTCTAAAATCCTGAATTCAAGATTTTGGCTGACTTCAAGATTTTACCTTTCCAAAATCTTGAATTCAAGCTTTTAGCTTACTTCAAGATTTTAGCTTTCTAAAATCCTGAATTCATGATTTTGGCTTTTTTCGAGATTTTGCTTTCCAATCTCAAAATTTAAGATTTTGATCTTTTCTTAAGATTTTAGCTTTCCAAAATCTTGATTTCAAGTTTTTGGCTTTTTTCAAGATTTTAGCTTTCCAAAATTTTGGACTCAAGATCTTAGCTTATTTAAACATTTTAGCTTTCCAAAATCGTGAATTCAAGATTTTGGCTTTATTCAAGATTTAAGCTTTCCAAAATCTTGAATTCAAGACTTTTGTTTTTTTTGAGATTTTAGCTTTCCAAAATCTTAAATTCAAGATTTTTGCTGACTTTAAGATTTTAGCTTTCCAAAATCATGAATTTAATATTTTGGCTGACTGCAATATTATTGCTTTCAAAAATCTTGAATTCAAGATCTTAGCTGACTTCAAGATGTTGGCTTTACAAAGTCTTAAATTCAAGATTTTAGCTTTTTTTAAGATGTTAGCTTTCCAAAATCTTAAATTTAAGATTTTGGCTTTTTCTTAAGATTTTAGCTTTTCAAAATCTTGAATTTATGACTTTGGCTTTTTTCAAGATGTTAGCTTTCCAAAATTTTGGATTCAAGATTTTAGCTTAGTTAAACATTTTAGCTTTCCAAAATCCTGAATCCAAGATTTTGGCTTTTTTCGAGATTTTAGCTTTCCAAAATCTTGAATTCAAGACTTTTGGTTTTTTCGAGATTTTAGCTTTCCAAAATCTTAAATTCAAGATTTTTGCTGACTTTGAGATTTAAACTTTCCAAAATCCTGAATTCAACATTGAGCCTTTTTTCCAAGATTTTAGCTTTCCAAAATCTTGAATTTAAGACTCTTGCTTTTTCGAGATTTTAGCTTTCCAAATCTTGACTTCAAAATTTTGTCTTTTTTCAAGATTTTAGCTTTCCAAAATCTTGGATCCAAGATTTTTGCTTTTTTAAAAAAATGTTAGCTTCACAAAATCTTGAATTGAAGATTTTGGCTTTTTCCATGATTTTAGCTTTGTAAAATCTTGAATTTAAGATTTTGGCTTTTTTCGAGATTTTGGCTTTCCAAAATCTTAAAGTCAAGGTTTTAGGTTTCCAAAACCTTGAATTCAATATTTTGGCTGACTTGAAAACTTTAGCTTTCCAAAATCTAGAAATTTAGATTTTGGCTTTTATGAAAATTTTAGCGTTCGAAAATCTCGAATTCAAGAGTTTGGCTGACTTTACGATTTGAACTTTCCAAGATCTTGAATTCAAGAGTTTGGCTGACTTTAAGATTTCAGCTTTCAAAAATCTTAAATTTAAGATTTTGGCTTACTAAGATTTTAGCTTTCCAAAATCATGAGTTTAACATTTTGGCTGACTTCAATATTATTGCTTTCAAAAATCCTGAATTCAAGATTTTAGCTGACTTCAAGATGTTGGCTTTACAAAATCTTAAATTCAAGATTTTGGCTTTTTTTCGAGATTTTAGCTTCCCGAAATCTTGAATTCATGATTTCGGCTTTTTTCAATATTTTAGCTTTCCAAAATCTTGCATTCAAGATTTTAGCTTTCCAAAATCCTGCATTTAAGATTTTTGCTTTTTTACAAAAAATTTTAGGTTCAAAAAATCTTGAATTTAAGATTTTGGCTTTTTTCGAGATTTTGGCATTCTTAAATTCAAGGTTTTAGGTTTCCAAAATCTTGAATTCAATATTTTGGCTGACTTGAAGACTTTAGCTTTCCAAAATCTAGAAATTTAGATTTAGGCTTTTATGAAGATTTTAGCTTTCTAAAATCTCGAATTCAATATTTTGGCTGACTTTACGATTTTAACTTTCCAAAATCTTGAATTCAAGAGTTTGGCTGACTTTCAGATTTCAGCTTTGAAAAATCTTGAATTCTAGATTTTCTCTGAGCAAAAGATTTTGGCTTTCCAATATCTTGAAATCAAGACCTTGGCTGAATTAGAGATTTTAGCTTTCAAACTTCTTGAATTTAAGATTTTGGTTTTTTTTATAAGATTTTAGCTTTCAGAAATCTTGAATTCAATATTTTGGCTGACTTCTAGATTTTAGCCTTCCAAAATCCTGAATTCAAGATTTCAGCTCACTTTAAGATTTTAGCTTTCCATAGTCTAGATATTTAGATTTTGGCTTTTTTTAAGATTTTAGCTTTCCAAAATCTCGAATTCAAGATTTTGGATGACTTTACAATTTTAACTTTCCAAAATCCTGAATTCGAGATTTTGGCTGACTTCAAGATTTTAGCCTTCCAAAATCTTGAATTTACGATTTTAGCAGACTTTAAGATTTTTGCTTTCCAAAATCTTCCATTAAAGATTTTGGCTGACTTTGAGATTTTAGCATTCTAACATCTCGAATTGAAGATTTTGGCTGACTTCAAGTTTTTAGCTTTCCAAAATCTTGAATTCAAGATTTTGGCTGACCTCAAGATTTTAGCTTTACAAAATCATCAATTCAAGATTTTCGCAGACTTCATGATTTTAGCTTTCCAAAATCTTGAATTCAAGATCATTTTTGGCTGGCCTCAAGATTTTAGCTTTTTAAAGTCCTCAATTCAAGATTTTGGCTGACTTCAAGATTTTAGCTTTTCAAAATCATCAATTCAAGATTTTCGCAGACTTCAAGATTTTAGCTTTTCAAAATCAGGAACTAAAGATTTTGGCTGACTCTAAGATTTTAGCTTTTTAAAATCCTGAATTCAAGATTTTGGCTGACTTCAAGAGTTAAGCTTTCCAAAATCTTGAATTTAAGGTTTTAGCTTACTTCTAGATTTTAGCTTTCCAAAATCGTGAATTCCAGGTATTGGCTGCCTGTTAGATTTTAGCTTTCCAAAATTCTGAATTCAAGATTTTGGCTGACCTTAAGATTTTAGCTTTCCAAAATTCTGAATTCAAAATCTTGGCCGACTTCAAGATTTTAGCTTTTTTAAATCTTAAATTGAAGATTTTGGCTGACTTCAAGATTTTGGCTTTCTAAAATCCTGAATTCAAGATTTTGGCTGACTTCAAGATTTAAGCTTTTGAAAATTTTGAATTCAAGATTTTGGCTGACTTTAAGATTTTAGCTTTCTAAAATCTTGAATTCAACTTGTATACTGTACTTAAATTTGTATTTACAATTATCCTTCTGTGAAAGCCTTTTTTTACAATTATGTAATCCTTTACAGACCATCTTGATAATGCCAGCATTAATCTCAAGCGTCTGTTGTGCCGCATTTATATAGTCCAGTCAATGAAGGCATTTTTTAGGCTCAACATCAAACTAATTGCAACAGAATTGTTTTCAACGCCATGTAAGTAAGGGTGGCCTATCTAGCAACATACTAAAAATCAGCCAAAATCTGTTCGGTGGAAAATGTCAAAATTTAGCGTGAAACATTTTGAGCTTTTAGCACAGGGCGCCCACGTTAGTTGAAATTATACGTTCAACTGAAAAATGCGCAAAATGTGTTTGTTACTTTTATGGAAAGTGAAAGAAGAAAGAATAACTGCTACCTAGCCTTTGGTGATAAAAACGAGGTGTTTCTTTTTTTCAAAAATGTTAAATATTTAACCGGTTGACTTTTGCACAGGAAGCCGATGCTTTGCTCAAGGAACCCCAAAATAACAGGAGGCTTACAGATTAATAGAGTGAACTTTAGGCTGTAAAACTACAACAAATTTAGTCGAAAGGCTTTAAATCTGAAAAATGGAAGCCTTTACTTAATCATTAGATTTTAAAATATATCCTTTTTAAATCAGATTTGTGTTAGGCACAAGGGTAAGAGAAATATATATTAGAGCTAGATTTTTGAATAACGTTACAGCCAAAATAGGGCTCTCAAACAGAAGTAAAAAAAACTAGCGGTGCAGTCATTGCTTTTTTTTTTCTTCTCTTCCTTTCTCTTCTTTTCTCACTCTGTTTTCTCTTTCCTTGTTCTTTTCTAGAAGGATTTTCGGGCTCATTTTGCCTTCGGCTTTTGGTCTTTTCTCTCAGTCAAAAGACCGCAATTTTTGTTCGGTACGTGCTCAAAAATCTAGCAAGATAATGCTTTGCAGGCTTTTACGATATACAAGTTTCACCTTGAAGCTTTTCGTTTTCTTCTTGTTAAAAGTAAATCGAGAGGAGGGGAGGATAGTTTAACTAATCCTTTACGATGCACAACATTGCAGAGTTTTTGAGCAGTTTAAGCTCCAATGCCTATGAATTTGATAAGAGGGAAATGCAAGAACTTTGGTTCCAGCAAACGTTTGTTTCAAGAAAACGAAATAGTATAATAGGGAAGCTGCTTTTTATGGGAAAGACAAACTCTGGGTAGCCAAAACAATGTGTATGTAAAAATATATTGTAAGAGTCTATGGAGTAATGGAAATTCCCCGCGCAGAGCATAATTTACCCAACTCAGTCATAAGGTTAACATGCAGTAAGTTGAAGTGTTACAAAACGCACATCCGAAGAGGAACATAGTTCCGCAAAAAGAGTTGAGCCATAAGAAGCTAAGTCAGGCAAGCCTATTAATTTTGTACATGCGTCCAGTACTTTGGCACCTTCATTGACCACTGCAATTATTTTCAGACGTATAGGATCTCATGATCGTTAAGAAAAAGAGGTCTTCATTTGCCAATGGACGAGAAAAAACTGGTCAAGGTTCATGGTTGTTCTCAGAAAAGAAATGCAAGGAGGGAATATAAACGCCTTTAGACCACAGAGCGATTAATCTACTTATTCATCTTACCAAGANTTGCCAATGGACGAGAAAAAACTGGTCAAGGTTCATGGTTGTTCTCAGAAAAGAAATGCAAGGAGGGAATATAAACGCCTTTAGACCACAGAGCGATTAATCTACTTATTCATCTTACCAAGAAATGAAGGGCTGACGCAGAAAATACAAACTGATAGAGATACACTAAACTAAACTGAGATCTGAGACTCGCTACAAGAAGAAGATTGAAAAAAAGAACAATCATACTGCGCTTGGTTTTCTGGATTTCCCTTACTACAAATTCGGCCATGTGTACTGAAAAGCGCAGAGCGTTACGATCGAGCAAAAAACCAAATAGACGGAGTTCTTAGCAGAATATTTATTCACTCACATTGTAAAGTACAGAGTCGTAATCATAAAGAATGTTGCTCATGTCGCGAGAAATAAAAAGAATCCCTGATTTCGATCACATATATTGTCCAAGATTTTGGAGCAAATTGGGAATAGGATAAACAGTTTGTACTAATACAAAGCTATCGTCCGTTGCAAACATTTAGTCGCACGTATCTTGCAGCATGGATTCAAATTAAGTAGCTGACTAAAGGTGAACAAAATATCAAATCAAATTGTTCACCATCAGTCAGCTACTCTGAATTTGCATACATGCTGCAGGATATTAAAAAATTACAAGCCTGATGTAAAACTGCTCATTCTTACTACATTTCTGATATTGCGCAAAAAAAAATTCCTAATATTTTAACCATGTTAACACAGACTGACTAATAATTTCCATTTTAAATACCGTCATAGAAAAAACAGTTAAAGCTTGGAAAACAGAATGTGAAGACAGACGAGTGGCTGGGTAGCCTGTGCAAAGCCTTCAAGACGAAACACTGACCTACGTGTTTCTCACATGTTTTGTCAGCATTTTTTTAAAAACAAAACTACCCAAAAAACATTAGCGATGTTCCATCGAAAATTCTTGAGAAAAAAGAACACAATTATCAGACTTTTTTGTCTGAATTTGTGATCTTCCTAAATTGGGTGTCCTGTGGTAAAAGTTGAAAATCTTTATTGCCAATTTTTCACATCTTTCACCGAACTGATTTTGGCGGATTTTTAGTATGTTGTTAAATAGCCATCCAACAATTTAATGGCGTTGAAAAAAGTCTGTTGCAATTACTTTGATGCTAAACCACAATTTGACTGGACTAACTGCATACATCCTGTGCGTTGTCTATTTCTTAACTTGTTTAATAATATCAGGAGCCCATCAAATGGAGCCTCCATCTCCATTAATTTCTTGAGTCAACCCTTTCCCGAGTAGATTTATAAATAGAACGGATTGTTTCCCGCGAAAAGTGTCATATTTCCGTGAGTCTCGTATGTCAGCGTAAAAAAAATGAAGTTGGATGAAGTCGAACTCAGAAGCCCGTCCTTCGACCGTTTTCCTTTTTTACTATACTTCCATTTTTACAATTTTACAGCCGCTGGGATCTGGGTATCATGAAATAAAAGTTAATGAATTACCCGACTGAGACTGAGCATAAAGCGACAAAGCACCTGACAAAGGCATCTAACTGAGGATCACGGAAAGATTATCTTTGCGACTGTGTGTGTGTGTGTGTGTTTTTTTTTTTCCGTCATGAATCCCACATTCAAGCATGCACCTTGAAAAGAGTCGACGAATAAGCGTTCTGTGGACGATTTGGAACTTTTCGATGATCAGCGCCGAAAAAGTGCCAGGATCATTTGGTTTTTGTCATCACCGTGGAGTGGATTTCGCCAGTTAAGCACCGCGTGCAAAAGCGATGACCTAAGCAGCAACTATAAACGAGGAATGCTTCAGTTTCGAAATTTGAGAAATTGCGGTCTTCGTTTACAACTGACTTGTATCACCATGAGAGCTACCTGATAAAACTGGCACTTGAAAAGTTGAACAGAAGACAACAGTTCTCTGAGTTGCTCGACCGTGAAGCTAACTCAAAAGTAATTTGCTTACGGAGGAATTTGTGACATCGCGCTCCAGTCCAAAGAACCACTTATCTCAAGAAAAACAAAATGGATTGTATCTGCGCCAAAAGAATTATGATTGACTAACAGGACAATTCTCAGCAGTTAATGTGGAAAGTTTAGGCTCAATTTTTTCCTTCGAATTCGCATCTGTAGATCACTATTTTGCGAGAAAACAATGGCTGGGCCTGGCGTTACAAAACATAGCAGGGAATCATCACACTAGCTGACGGACAAAACAACCACGAGGACTACAAGTATTTATTCAGATAAACGCATTTCGGAAAAAAAACCTTGATAAAACTAGAAATTTGATTAATATTGAGTCATTTAGCCGAAATAAGAACCTAACGCTCAAAAAAACGAATTCTGTCAGAACTACAGACCGCAGGTAGTAGTTAATCATTATGCATGTAACAGACCAGCTTCAGGGCCTCTTAATGTGAGACAAGCAACCAAAATTAAGATTAACATAGTCAGGGTTTAAAAATCTCCACAGTATAATCTACCCGCTAGAAAGAAAAGAAAGGAAATCTCTGAGGGATGAAACGCTAAAGTCACGTTTCACTAGCTTATGATTGTGTTTGGCTTTCTCAGCACCGAATTTCCTACTGTTTGATGAAGTACAATAGCATTGTCATTTCGTCGTTGTGATTGGTGCTTCCCACCGTCGGCGCGCGAAGTCTCCCCTGGGAACCGTTCTAATTATAAATCTACTCGGGAAAGGGTTGACTCTGGAGGCTCCATTTGATGGGCTCCTGATAATATGAATTATCTTTCCATCTGTAGAAGCAACATACAAATTATAGATTGGATGAACATGATAAACACACTTATTTATGGATATTTTCACCAATGTATTATGTAATAGACACCGCTTTAGGTCAAGGTCAAATTCCAGGAAAAAAGGACGTGGTCATTTTCTTGGAATCCCAAGGTCATGGTCAATGGGCTTGGCCCAAAATATAGAACTAAAATATGGAAATGTCCTCGTACGCCCATATACTATACTAATGACTGTAGATCCCTGTTCTGGCCGGGAAGCTACCAGTCCCCTAGCTACAATACTTGCCCTGGAATCTCTTACAATAAGCCAAACGCAGGCCAATCAACTCAACCAAAGCAATGAAGATGACTTGGCGAGGGTAGATCAAATTGCACAGAATGACGAACTTGAAAGCGGACATTCATTAGGTGTCGAGGGTACTTTGAAGAATAATTTACGTTTCTGGAGATCTTTAGGTGTTCCAGATTTTATTTTGTCAGTTATTGAAAACGGCTACAAGCTGCCGTTCATCAGTTTTGCATTGGCTGTAAAGCTAAGAAATAATAAGTCAGCTCGACTTCATGCTGATTTTGTGGACCAAGCTGTTCTTGAGCTTGTTAACTCTGGTCGGCTGCGTATGTTTAAAGAGCAGCCTTTTGTTGTAAACCCCTTGTCAGTTTCTATACAGCCATGCAGTAAGAAGAGGTTAATTCTTGATTTGCGCCATGTCAATAAGTCATTAATTAAGCAAAGTGTTTAAGTACGAGGACTGGAGGACTTTGTATAACGCGGGTTTTGTTGTCAACGAAGGCCAATCGGTATGGGAGCCCACCCAAGTATTGGACTAGTTAGGTATAACCTGGAATTCTGCACTGGGTACTTTAAACATTGTAGAAAGAAGAACTGTTAAGATCATCAATACAAGTGAACATATTATTGAAGCCGATTTCAAAGTCTCTGCGAGAGAGTTGGCCTCCTTCACGGGTCAAATTATTTCTACCGGGCCTGTAGTTGGTAAAATTGGTAGGATAATAACCAGACATTGTGTCTTGTCTACTTTCTGCAAAGACAACTGGGATTCCGTATTCCGTCTTGACGATTACTGCAAGGAAGAACTGCATATTTGGAAGGACAATATGGTTAATATTAACTCTAGGTATTGCTTTGTAAGTAAAGATCCTAGTTTTTTTTGTATATTTAGATGTCAGTGCTACCGGGGGTGGAGAAATTAATGACTTAAACAATGATTTTTTGTCACAAAATGTGGTAGGGGAACGACAGCGTTGAAAAGTGCAACGTGAAGAGAGTTGTCTGTTATTGAGTTTTCATTGCAATCATTTGCCTCAGTGCTTGAAGGATCACACGTTAAGTGGTTTACTGATAGCCAAGCAGCTGCTAAGATTGTTGAAGTGGGCAACATGAAATAAGGTTTGCATAAGATAGCCCGAAGGATTGTTGATATTTGTATTCGATCGGTGATGCATTTAGAAGTGCAGTGGATCCCTCGAACTTCGAATCAGCGAGCTCATTATATAAGTCGTTTAATTGACACTGACGATTGGCAAATTACAGAAGAGTTTTTTTCTTTTTCTTGATCGCCGGTGGGGCCCGCATAGTGTTGATTGCTTGGCCAATTATTACAATCACAAGCTGCCCAAATACTTTTCGAGGATTTGCAACCCCAATACTTCGAGTGTTGATATTTTCTTTCGGTCTCTTCGAGGAGAAAATTACCTGGTAGCCCCCCCAGTTGGTATCGTCCCACGCGTATTGCATAATTTGAAATCCCAGCAGGCCGTTGGTACGCTTGTTGTTCCTCGTTGGCCTTCTGCTTACCTGAGATCAGGCTCAATTTTCGTTTCGCTCTGTAGATAACATTCCGACGGGCAAGGCGGAACGAAAACAGAGCCTTATACAAACCTTAAACGAAACGTCTGCCGCCCACGTTTTTGATAGATTGACATTTGCTGAATCAGCCAACCAAAATTACTTCCGTTGCTTGTTTTTCTTGTATGCAAATTTTTCATATGTGGGAAAACTGCAGACTCGCTGACTTAAAATATAGCTTTTACCTTTTAAATTTTTTTAAACTCAAAATACAACAGTCAGCACAATCACATTAAGCCTCTTACGAGATTAAAGGAGATCTGGACGGTTATTTACGTTGGCGTAGAAGGTAAAAAAAAGTTTTCTAAAAGAGGCGAAACGATGTTCTAGGCGCGCTCGAATTTAAAATACTGAAATTCATATTTCTCTGTTGCCTTTATATTTTCCTCGGTAATTTTGCCTGATTTTCAGTACATAAATCTTTCAAAATCTTGGAGAAGTAAATCGCGAACTTTTTAAAAGATATATGAATTATCTCAGAACAAACCAAACGACAGCTGAAACGAGTTCTCAAGCTGCATTTAATTTAGCTGATTTAGTCCCGTGAGTACACTTGCAATTTGCGAATTTACTAGAGAAGAAGAGAGACGAAACGACACTACTAAAAATGCATGCTCAGCTGACCTTTAAACAAAAAGAAAAAACAATATTACGAACACGCGTTATAGTTCTCTTTAGTCGTGTTGCTGTTTTACTGCAGGTCTGAAAAGCTCGCTAAATTTATTAATCGAAATTAACAAACGGGAAAGAGTCAATGAGCGAGGACACCAGTTTACATGGTTTATGTTTTACAAAAACTGAAGACAAAAAACAAGTCTGTTACCTTAAGACTAGCGCCACTAGCTTATAACGATGCCTACAAAAAATTCCTTGAATCAGCGATGCGATATGTTTCGTCTAAGGCCATCCCCATAAAATGTTTCGTTTCCCACCGCGCGACCGACCCATTTTTTTGGAAAAGTCAAAAAAAAAAATCCAGAATCACTCATAAAGAAACAAGTACTTTACTTTACAAGCACATGATCTTGTCTTATTAACACCAATTGTCTTAAATTATCATCTATACTTCGTTTTTGTAGCCTTTTTAGACATTTGATAGTCCTGTTAATATACATCTTTTACCATCTGATTATATCTTGCAGACTAAACGTGAGATTTAATATGCAATCATGTGTTCATTGTTTTTTTTTTAATTTCCCCGACCGACCGACCCACCTAGCTTCACGAGAGGGTCAGCACTCATGAACATCCGTCGAAAGGCCCTATTATCTTCGGTCGGATTTCGTAAACGTATGACGTCACGATCACCTCGAATCATCTGCACTTCGATCGTTTATAGCCGACTTGTTTAATTTTTGGTGAGAGGTTTTGTCCTACTTTTTCGATCATTCCTCGATTGATTCCAATCAATTCAAACAAGAAGATGCCACTGCTTCCGTTTAAAGGATGTTTTGATGTTTCAAGTCTCTTCTTACTCCGCGGGGAAAAGGACCTTTCAGTGGATGTTACTGACTAGCATCCTTTGAATGTTCCCACATCACCAGGCTGTGTATCTAGGTGACAATTATACATTATCACTTTCCTTACTGAATACATGTACCGTGTAAAATCACCATTCTAATGTTTCACACTTGAGGAGAAGGATCAATATTGTTATTTATTATCCCACTATTATATCATTTTACCATTTAAGGTCAATAGAATGCGCACAATATTAGGCGGTAATAATATAATTATTAATAATATTTCTGTCTGATTTGGTTAAAATGACTGGTCACTAGGTTTTCGCCTGGCACCGGGCACAGCCCGGCACTAGGCCAGTCTAGTGTCCAAAAAGGTAGGGGGCTTGCCTTCTTAGTCGGTTTAGCTGGATAGCCCAGGGACTGCCCTAACAGTGGGTGGGCGGATCAGGCCAGGGGGCCAAAATTAGTGGTGTAGGGATGGGGCTATTTTGACACAACCCCTTCAATAAACAGCAGATGTCACTAGAGGCTTTGACTGGCAAGTACCTTGTTCTTAATTTGCCCTAGCCACTGAGCTGAATCAGGCCTCTGCTGAGAATGATAATGTTAATAGCCTTAGTCTCTATTAATTTTTTATATTTTGCACGCATTGTCCTGCCTTGAATAGCCTTGCTAGCTGCGGGCAATACTTCAGTAAGTTTATTTGTTTATTAATAAAGTTTTGTTGTTGTTGTTGTTGTTGTTGTTGTTGATAATTGCAGAGCTCAGTGGGAGGCACAGACAGTCACCCATTGTCCTGGGTGGGGAGGATCAAAGTCTTGGTACCAAGGACACACTTAACATATAGGACTTGTAGCCATGTTTACATCAACTCAGTCAGATTTATTTATTTATTTAGGGTTACTTATTTTATGCTTTGTAATTAAGGTTTCAAATGAAAATGTGCTTAAACTGTGCGTTTTGGTTCGAAGCCATTGATACTTATTAATGAAGTCTTCATCTACATGATATCTACGAGTTATTTCTTGGGAAAGGTTGCCTATCAGGTCAACGGATTTGTTCAAGATTTTTTAAATACTTTTCTTTAACAGTACATCAAAATGAATGAATGGTGGATTCAACTTAAGTAACCCCTCAGAGTTTTGACTGGGCTTCTTGCTGTTTCGTCAAAAGTGTCCCGTAAAAACTGAAAGGGGAGGGTCCAAAGAATTTGGAAATGGTATCTTCCCATCTGCATTAGCCTTCCCTCTCTGTAAATAATTCCTACTCCCTGATTTCTTTGAGGTTTTGCTTGAATATTAGTTTTTAAGCGTACCTCAAAGCCTCTTCTGCTGTAATTGTTCCTTCAACTTCTTTCGCAGTAAAGTCATGTTATTCTAGAAAAAGAGAAAATGCTCTGTCATTCGATCAAATAGAGCAGATGCTATTTAATTTCATGAAGCAAAAACAAACATAGAAAAGTAATTATTCAACAGTAAGATTGTTTTTCCTTGTTTGATCATCATTAAACTTCCCTTCAGTTTTCTTCTGAGTTATTGACTGTGTGATTTGACTGGTGGATTGATTTTTGGTGCACTGTCGATCCTCCTTTCTCCCTCTATATGTTAATTTGTTTTCTTATTTAGTATCAAAGGGTTGACCAAATTACTATGGAATTATGCTGCTTGTGAAAGGCATCTGTTCAACTGAAGTGCCCCATAGAGAGATAGAGGAGTATTTGCTAGCTATGATCTATCATGTAGGCAACTATTCTGGAAAGAAGTTTGGGTTTGATTTGACCTCTATATGGATGTTTGTCACCAAGAAAAGATGTCTTTACTTACAATAGTTTGGAAATGCAGATTTTTTAACATAGAAATTGCTGTGAACCCAGATTAGTGTCTGTTAGTAAGAGGTGCTTGTAAGCTTATAAGTGGTGTCTGTAAACAGAGGTTATGTACAGTACCTGATGGAAAGTGGGATTTTTTCCCCTGCTCAAGTTCTGTGCAAACTGAATGTCATACATGTTAATGCTATCACTTACAACAGTAGTTTAAGAACATGAGTGATGTTCAGAATACTGAAAGTTTAAAAATATTACTTTGTCTAACAATGTAAATGATAATAATTATAATCATTACTATTACACTATTATTGTATCAGTTATTACAATATTATAGTCATTGCTACTACAAATTTGCTTAAAAAATGCAAAGCAAAATGTGCTTACCATGCAGACAATTACAGCCGCAGTCATGGCTGTTTGCTTGAAGGGGAATTTCCTTTAGTTTTAATAGCGGGGGGGTGGGGGACGCCCCCACCCGCCTTCCCTACCACCACTGCAGCCATGTTTCTCAACCCAAAATTGGTCAAGTGGAAATGTTAAGATTTAAATGAACACCAGTTGTAACATCTAGGGCGTACTTTTTCTTCCCGCTGACCACTCAAAAAGCACCATGAAGCAGTATTGTTTTAGCCTTTGTTTGAACAAATGCCTACTTATGCATATCCGGCCAACT